AGATTTTGACCCAACATAAAAATTATTAGTTTTTGGAGGGTCAAAGGTCAAGGGCACTAAAATGCAACAAAAAATCCCTATCTGTTAACATGGGGACCGATCTTTTAACAATATTTATGCTCTATAACCCAGTAATAAAAAGATCGGATTTTAATGAAACTTAGTGGACATACGTAGAATATTATCTCTCATTGTTCTGCCAAAAATGGTTTGTGTCCATTGATAACGACAGACATACGGATACCTTTTCGTATTTATTGAGGGCCAAATATGATCAACACTGCGTGGCGAAGGTATGCATCCTACTGAGTGCTTGTTTGTTTGTATTTAAGCACAAAACTACACAATGGGTTATCTGGATATAATTTTTAGATTCAGCGTACAGGAAGTTTAAAGTCTTAAAGTCTAAAGGCAAGAAAACATAACATGGCATCTCACTAAGCTTTTAATGTCATTTTGAAACAACTTTTGAGATAAAAATATTAAACAAAATAATATGAACATGGTCCTAGTGATTAGAAATAGCAATGTGAATATGAAGATACTAGATTCGAGACGTGGTGCCACAAAATATGATTTACACATTCAGTCATGGATGTATTACAATAATGACAATCAATCCTGATACTTGGTTAAAAATAGTCACTGCAGATAATAGATGCTGTCAACTAGATGCCTTTCCTGACATGGTTATTGTGTAATGAAATTAAACATGCATTTATTAAGTTCTTTCTTCCTTTCCTTTTTTTTTTGTGCCATTGTGTAACAACTCTTTTATTTCAATATTAGCGTGACACATTAATAAATTTACATAGTTTCATGGTTTTCATCGTGAAAATAGTTGCTTATGGATCACGCGTTTTATAGTTAAATCAAAGTTTGTGAAAGTCATGGAAAACTTATTTCCAAGTACTGATCACACAGCATTTGTTGCTTGTGGTACTCTGTTGAAGCCCTGTGATATTTACTGTTGTGGTAGCAATTATTATCATTAGTGCTAGCAGTTCTATAATTTTATTCCTGTAATATTCAAATTTGTTGTAATACTTCCAGGTTTTGTTTCTCTGTAATAGTTTGGTCTTAACTGTTGTAAACCTGTGCCTTAAGATGAAAACTTTTTTTTTTACAGAAAGCACCAACCATGGGCATCCGCAGGATGGAGCATTTGCTCCCATGAACTATTTAAATATAAAAGATGTTATTAGATTCACATGAATAAGCCATAATCAGCCAGAGCATCGCGCCTAAACTTTAAGGTAATGACCTATGCTTACCTCAACCTGGAATAAATTCTGAAGATGCCCGTGTCACCAACTTTAAAATATATATATATATATATATATATGTATCTGGGCTCATACGGTGTTGTTTGGCTGGAAATTAGTAGAAGGTCACCTTCACATGTTGCTAGCCCAAACTGTCTAGGGGAATACAGAGTGGTCATTTTGCAATTGTGTATGATCAGTTAATATCAATATTTCTTTGTTCGCTGTTGTGATGTGTTTGCTTGAATCTTTGATTTGAAATAGACTTGTCCTGGTCACCATAATTTTTTTTTTTGCACACAGTAAATTCCAGTTCTACTGTTGAATTAACTAATACAAAAAAAAGTCAGTGAAATAAACATTATTATTTCAAGTTTAACTATATTGATGTGTATGACTTTTTTTCCATTCTTGTACTACACCAACATGCGTCAAGTCCGACATTAAAATTATCCAGTCTTCATTCTTTAGACATCAATTGCTCACTGCCAGTTAGATCTTAGCATTTTTTAGTTGATGAGGTTGTAGCTTATCTGAATGTAACTTTTTACATAAGAATACCACATCATCAGTCCTAATCAGAACCACTGATGTATTGTTAAGTGCAATAAATTATTGAACTGTTAGCTAGCCAATTGAACAGTGATTGATGTGTTAATTGTAACCACTGAGGTTGACTCAGTGGTTTTGTGCTTTGGACTCACATTCAGATGGTTTCGAGTTTGAGGCTGACCTGCGTCTGCTGTGTGTTCTTGAGCAAGACACTTTTCCTCACTTGTATCAACTTGTATTAGACTGGCATATCGCTCAGGGGGAATGGGTCACCATTCTCAACCACTTGAAATTGGAGTTCAAAAGCTTTGGCCCTATATGCCTTGAAACGACACTGCAAGAATTTAAATATGCGCAGGTATAAGTGATTTCAAATTAATTTTATCCGTACAAATGAAAATACAGACTTTGAGTATGTTATATTATATTAAAATGTTTTGGAACCTCACTATATCATTACAATCTATGTCACCACCTCTGGTTATGCTCTATTTAACAATTCTACATCTTGATCTTGACAATTTTTCAGCAATATGCTCCATTGTAAGGCTGTAACGTGCAAATCACACTCTTTTCTCTGATTGCTTTCCGTAAGCCATCTAAGACATGAAGATGTTTTAATAGTCCAATAATATAGAAATACATAGATGTTGAATCCAGCGACTTGAGAGATATGTCTTTGTATGGGACAGCATGAATACCAGTTTCATTCTCCAGCTGCACAAAGTATGTGATAGTTGAACAGATACGTCATGGAAGTAACTTGTTGTCATGATATAAAAGACTGTTTGGTTCAGATAGTATTGATTAATTTAGTTTTGTGAGTGAATGTTTTGTTATTGTTTACTTTTTCTTATAATAAGAGTTAAAAGCAGACGAATATAGGAAGTTTTGTTAATAATTCATTGACGTCGATAATATAGAAGGCGGGCAGATGAGTAAGTGATAATGATATAAATAGCGTGAGACGAGCGGGAAGCAACAGACAGATAATAGCGAAAGAGAATAAAGTTGGTGTGAAGTTAAGTACCGTATATGTGATAGGCATAACGTTTAATATGTTAAAGTGAAATAAAGAGTAGAAAAGAAGACGAGAAAAATAATTTTATTCCATCAAAGCGTGGTTCTAAAATAATTGCATCAGCCTGAGTGGACTTCAACAAAAGGAACAGCGGATCTTCAAGAGAAATAAGACCAAACGTTTACGGTAACTCGCGCCACAATTGTAAGTGAATCACAAAGAGTAATAGTGCGATAGAAATATAGAAGATAGTTGTCAACTGAAATTCTAAAGTAATTGAATAGGCCTAAGTGAATATTTGACAAGAAGGAGTACATATATAGTATTTATGATATATTCATAATATCTATAGTGTTGAAGAATTTATTGTACATACGTTAACTTATTCTGAGCATATATATTATTTTGAAAACAAGTGAAGTGCGTGCTGTTTATTCATCGCTAACAAGTCACAGACACCTACTGTAGAAGAATCCTAAGCCCAACAACAACATAGTGTTACGACAGCGGAGGTCACGTGACTCTAGTAACACGTCATGCACTTCTCGAACGTTCACGTCCCTTCCTGAATGCTCGAGAGCCTACTAGATATGCGGTAGTCTTGGATATATATAAGACGGTCAAGACGCGACGTGTAATTGAACTGCGGACAGAGAGAGAGTATTGTTGAGTCGAGTACGTGAGACGTTCGTTGTGAATTATAGCGTTTGTTATAGCGCGACTGTGGAAATTAAGTGTATTGCAAAGTTGTATTCAGAGAGAATAAACCAGTTTTACTTAAGAAAGAACTTGTATCGCTAAAGTTTCTTCGGAAAGAATTTTTACGGAAAATTAACTAACGACCAGAGACGTAACAATATTGTTGTAATGTTTTTTACCTTTGGACAGCTTTTTTTTGGATTACTTCGTATATATATTGTTAAATCCAATCTATGTAACCATAACATATTTCCTCAACAACATTTGTTACAGGCTACGTTCATCTGTGGACCTTCACAACGTTCCAATACAAACTCCGAAACTAATGAAAGCCTAATTCACAAATAAACTTATTTGCAGCGCTTCCTCTAATCAATTGATAACAAACACGGTAGCTAACCCACTGACTAACTGAATAGACACAATAATTCTCACTCTTTAACTCACGAACTGATATTGAACTGAATCCTTCACTGATTACTCATTAATTCATGAACTAATAATTCGCTGAGACTGGTATTTATACTGTACTATAATTTCTACATTCTACACGAACTTTCTACAATGGTCTTGAATTTTCATAACATTTCTAGATATATGCGCCATTTCAACTCACCAACATCAGTTAGGGCTGAGTCTTGTCCATTGCTGTGCCTATCAGTCTTCTCCACACTACCCTATCTTCAAATGTAGCATGCTCTTCAACTTCTCATTTCAAGAGCATCTTTCCTTGTATTCCTTCTACCTATCTCATCTGAGGTTTTCCAAGTGGCCTTCTTCCTTTTATTCCCAATTAATAAACTTCTTTGGATATCTTTTTTTTTTTCGTGTAGGTTTCATACCCTCTCAATTTCTTTCTTAACTTTCATGGAATTTCATTAGATAATGACATGCCCCTTCTAGCATACAAACATTTAATTAAAATATCAAAATATAGCTTACAACAATATAATACAAGTATAACGTAGCTTTTTGAGTTGTTTCACTTTAATTCTTCACTCTTCTTCTCCATTTTTTTTTTAAATATCTTCTGAAATTTTATTTCAGGCGGCTTCATGATTCTAATGAATAGAAGGGGGAGGTTAATTCACATTTTAACTATAAAGTGAGATTGATTTGTTTGTTTGTAATTAAGAACAAAGCTACACAATGGGCTATATGTGCTCGGCCCACCACGGGTATCGAAATCCGGATTCTAGCGTTGTAAGTCCGTAGACATTCCGCTGTGCCACTGGGGGGCATAAAGTGAGATTGAAGTCGCAGCGCTGTGTATAATATTATATCACTGTTGAGTGATAATAAAAACATTACTAACATTATCTAAACTTTTTATAGTTTTCATGGTATTCGAGCATTTTTCTATGTCGTTTATAAAAATAGAAAGAGGAAGATTCAAATTAATACTATTACTAATCAAGGAACTGTTATTGTATGTCATTAATATAAATTTTTGACAGTTTTCCCGTTTTATCTAAAGTCGAGGCGAGCTAAATACATTTGTATCAGCGAGGAAGGATCCTACCCTCTATTGGAAAATTTATTAAACTAATTCGCGGATGTTTTCAATTTGTATAACGTTTGACCATAAAGTAATCTAAATCCCGTGATGATCGAAGCGAAGACTAAAAGATAGGGTTCAGTATAATAAAAATATGATGAATTATGGATGATCAAAATGCCAGTGATGATCTTGAAACGTTAACCCACGTTCAGGTTATATCATGAATACAGTTATTTTCAAATAAGCTAAGCTTTGATTTATCGCTCTCCTTGATTATCGTCATTTTACAAGACGCTTAGAAATACTCAAATAGTAACTAACTTATAATACTATTACGAATAATAACAGTATTATTAATATTACTATTAGTTTTATTACTAAAAAAGGTATTATGCTGTCTTTAGAGTTTGGAATCTCTGGTTATGTATGTGTACGACTATGACTAAAGCAGAATGGTAATACAAATAGCATTACAGCTTATACTTATAGGAACAAATATTGACGTTCACCCTTATTTATTTTTATGTATAGCCCATAGGCTTAAACTTTCATGGGAAATCAGACTTGGGTTCTTTTATTTGTTGCAAATTATTGACAGAAACGTGAATACAATACACGAAAGTTGAAACAGACACTGAATCAGTGATACTGATCCCAGCAATTACTGGAACTTAGCCTAAGTTTTGGTAATCATTATTCATGGCAATATAACTGAGTGCTAGTTAGTTCCTGCAACATCTAACATTCAGCAGAGTAACATGTTCAGTATTGCTTTAATTTACCAAATTAATTATTAGTGTAAAATTCCTGCCCAGTGTCTACAGCAATGAGCTGTGTTGACAGTGTTCATAAACTGAAGTTGGAACCAAAAAAAACCTTGATATTATAATAGATCTAATGAGTGAACCACTCTTTTGTTATATAAAATACAAACAATGAGGTACCATTTCCTCCTTCAAGATGTGTTCTTTTACACCCATTCTTATGAAAAGTACAAACTTACAATAACACACCCTTGTTAAATCCTCTTTTTTTTTAAACTTGTAAAATGCTGGCCCCATCACTGACAACAACTGAAGCTTTGCCTGTCTTTTTCAAATCTTTTGTTCATGGGAAAAGAGAATACATTATGTCACCTTTTTCATAAACTTTAATTGCACAAAAGTCATAAATATATATATATTTTTTTTCAAAATACAGCAAAAAAAACATCAGAGTTCTTCATCATATTGAGTGGATTATATAATATTTAATAAAATAACTGCACATACCCCTTTTTTTTTCAGGATAAAGTATCTTTAACTAGTCCCATAAGATAACTCTTCAGTCCTTGGAAATCATCCTGGTAATCCTCTTCCAAATATGTTGCACTTTCTGTAATTAAAGTTTATTTGCCAAAAATTTATCAGAGAAATTTAGCCAAATCATTTTGTAATAGATCGATGTCCACAATGCAGCTAAAAATACCCAAGAGTCTAATGACATCAACAAACTTTACTAATTATGCCCCTATCAATGTCAATGTAAGTAAGAAAAAACAAAGGTTCCTGCAAGCATTGATCACTGAGGCATTGCATTAGTGGGTACAGATTGACTGGCTCCATTAATAACAATTTTTTGGTTTCTCCTATCCAACTACCATAAATTTTAATTAACTAGTCTTTTCATAACTCCTACCAATGTGAATTTCTTAGCTAAGTTTTTTGGAAAAATCTAACTACAATAGAGCTACTAGAATAATTCTGGGAACAGAAGGGTTATCTTATAAGGATAGAAGGGAAAAAATGATATTATGGAGTTTAGAGTTTACAAGCTTATCCAGGGAATTGATAGGGTAAAGGCATCTTTGCTATATTCTGAAGACAGTAGGATGAGTGGACACAAATTTAAGATTTCAAAAAGGCAAGTTAGGCTACAATTGAAATTATTTTATTTTATTAACAGGATGATTGACTTATGAATTAAGTTGCTATTGACAGTAGTGGAAGCCAGCACTTTGCAAGACTATAAGAGGGGGAGGGGAATCTGGGATTTTATGACAAATAGAATGTGGGTTTCAGTTTTTACTTTCCTTAAGGATGGGTGTGCATGGAGAGCCTTCAAGGACCAAATGGTCTCTTGTCATGTATGGTAATGTCTTTTCCGTAATAATGGGGGACTAAAATTTCATATAAAACCAAGTTAAACTTAATTGGTATTACTCAAGGTTACATTTCCCAATTCTGTAAACTCAAAATTTCTTAAATGAGTCATGAACTTTAATTATTGCAAAAAAAACAAAACATTCACCAGGTGGCTTTAGGAGTTTTATTAATAATAACACCCAAAAGACTTATCTTTTTACGATGTCACAAACCTTTTTACACCTCAGTGGTAAACTTTACTGCTCAATACTAACACTCATTTTCCATATTCTGGCCTACTTTGTAAGATTGTTAAACTTGTTTTGAATAAAAGAAACATTTTTTAACAGAATTACAGCATTTTAGTATAAAATGAAATGTAAAGATAAGAAGGAGCTGTTGGTTCTTTTATATTGTCCCATTCACTTAAGTAAATGCTAAATAAAATCTGGCCCTTATCATTCAAGTATTTATCACACTTTTCCTTAAACTCCTTTAAATTAACTGCATTCTGAAGGCAACCCATTCCAAAGGCCAACCACCTCATCAGAAATATAAAACTATCTTAGATGAAAGTGACTCCTACCCTGCCAAAATTTATATTTGCATCTCCTAGTTCTACTATTCTCCCCATTGAGTACAGGAAAAGATGATTCATTGAAACTAAATTACTCTTAACAAAAACTTCTACCCATTTGCTATCAAGATAAGTCAAACTAATAGGCTTGCAATTTCCAGGATCCTCTTTTAGGGATCATGTCATCAACTATTGGAAATTTTCCATATGTCAAAATATTTCTGAAAAATTAATTAAAGACCTTATTTTATTAGTAATTGGCTAGTAATTTTATGATAAGTTTCATCATGGCTAGTAGTTTTATGATAAGTTTCATCATGGCTAGTAGTTTTATGTTCTAGATATTTTCCATTCTTTTTTTTAAAGTTATTTTTTTTCACACATAAATAGAAAAAAAAGAAATATTTGTCATTTAAAAAACAAAGATCACTTTTGGAATTCTATACTCATCCATTAGTAAAAACTTTATAAAACAGTTTATATACTTACAGAACAATGTTTTCTCCTTAATTTGATTTTAGAAACTTTTTTTAAACCAATATTATCTTTGACTGTGGTTTTTCAGTAAATGTTGAAGCATTTCAAATCACTTATCATAATGATTTTGAACTCCTGAAACAAGAGACCTTTAGTTCCTCAATGTTTTAATACTTTCAAGGTGTTTGGGTGAATATTTATGATTGAAAAACAAACAGTTAGTTTTGACTTTTCATTAAAGTTATAAATGTGTAAATGAAAAATAATGATTGACATGTATATTGTCCATGATATTGCTGGATTTTTCAAAACTTTTTATAGATTGTACATGTACCAAGTAAAGAGAAAAAAGCTCATAAGCTTTGTCATTTTTTTCTTCAGTGCAGGAATTTGTATGAATTTAATTATGTTTCATCCTAGTATAAGTCAAGGTTTTCACTATAATTTTTCATTTAGTTGTATGTGTATAATACAAGTTACGTGGATGATGTTATTTTGTTATTAATGCTACAATTAAGTGAACCATATACAACTTGAAAATATAGGTGCACTGTACAATAAAAATAACTTAGAACTTGGTTTTCCCTACTTAGCACTTGAAAGCAGCTGTACATTACACTGTAGCCAAGATTTGTGAAGAAACAGGTGAAGAAAAACACCAAACATTTTCACGTCAGTCTATTGCCACCATATCAGAGTTGACATATAGACAGATAGGATCTTTTGCAGAAGATTTAGAATTATTTGCAAGGTAAAACTGTGTAGTTGTGTTTATGACTCCTTTTAATAATAGATCATCTTTTAATCTTTTTACTAACTTAAATTGGTGTAAGATAATGTGGTTTTATATGGGACAATTTTGTCTTTGTTGCAGAGTACGTTTTGGACGTTGTTGCATAATAATTTTACATCTGATATATTAATCTAGGGTATAACTTCCGAGGTATACTTTTTAACTTTAACCTTACATTATCAGATTCAAACAGTTACTACAATTGAGTTTAGATACCTTTACATGTGTTTGAAATACAAAAAAGAATATATATATGTATTAATTAAATGTTAGTTTGAAACAGATTACTGAATCCATATCATGAGAAATATAGAAACAATTTTTAGGACTTCAGCTTAGGCCTGAAAACAAATTTTATTAGTCATTAGTGGTATTTGAAGTGTGCAAAAACTTTTTTTTAAGAAAATGCCTTCATTATTACATGTACTTACATAACCTTCACCTGCAATGGATGGTTAAGTAATTGTATTATAAATTGTTTCTATCCTTTCTTTGAGACGATCGGTTTAGAAGCTACAACTCTGAAGAAGTGTAAAAGGAGATTGATGTAGTATTTTTTTAAAATAATCTCTTAATTTTTAGCATAAGTATTACCTTTATCATTAATTTAACTATATATAGTATTTTGATAGTTCCAGTTAGATTAAATAGGATTATTGTTTTTAAATACTACAATGTTAAAAGCAATTTTTTTGAAACCTAAAACTATGACATTATTCTTATTGTTTTTAGGTACTGTATTTGTTTTCATTATTATTTGGTAGGTGCTAAAAATGTAAAATACTTTAGTAGATTATTTAAGATTAGAAATTAGATGTATGCAAGAAGGTCTGGTGTCTATCTGTAGTTGCAGTACTAGTAACTAATATTATCAGTGTTAAATTTATCAAAAATATAAAATACAAGCTGTTAAAAGCTTAAATTTAGCTAAATGTACAAATATTGAGTTGCTAAAGTAATAAAGAGTTAATTTTAGCAAAACTAATATGGTTAGAGGTACTGTAGCTACAGATAAGCATGATAGAATTAATAGGATGTAATACAGTAGATGTCAGTATTAGGTTATGCTTGAGAATTGTGGGTTTAATAACTTTGATTTCAATTTTGAGGAGGCTCAGAAAGGTATCATTACCCTTCACTTACAGATCTTACTTACGTGAGATTAGATTAGATGTAGTTTTGGGAAAGATTAATTGCTGTGTAAAAGGGGGGAATAACAGGTTAGGAGCAGACATCAAGGAAGCAAGACAGGACATAGTTAGTTTTAATGTAAAGGCTGGTTTGAAGGAGGATGGTAATGAGGGTGATCGCTTTACAAGGGTGTACAATAGTAAAGAATTTAGGGCTATGAAAAGAGGTACAGTTAACTTAAGGAACCAGTCTGTAACAGGTTTAAACATTTGCCTGCTTGCAGCAAGGAATGAGATGATTCAGTGGTTTACATAGTGTGAAACTCTTTCTTTAAGTACGCAAATAATAATTTGTAGTGGGAAACATAGAAAGTCTGGGTCTAGAATTTTGCTTACCAGGTGTTAAAGGAAAGGGTAGTATGAAGCATGTTGACAGGTTAGTTGCGGGTATGAAGGAACACACTTTTTGTAGAACATGAAGAAGCAAATGATGTTGGAAATTATGCTAAACCGGAAGAGTTCCTTAAAATGTATCAATAACTCCTGCAGAAATTTAGGGATAGAAATAGAAATGTGACCTTTTAGGAGTGATGCATTGGGCTAGATGTAGAAATGAATTATAAGCAGGATCCAGAGCTTAAATGGAAGATTATCGGGGATATGCTTGCAAGTTTTGTAGAGCAACAGGTGAGTTTGTTGGACCTGTGGGATAGTTTTCAGGGTAAGGGTGAGTTATATGCTAGAGATGAGCTCCTCTTAAGCCGTTTACAATGAAGAGTATGTGGGGAATAATTTTATTAGATAGTTTAAACTAAATTTGCATAGTGGTTAGGGAGTTGGGGGAATTAGGAATGAACAAATTGGTTGCATAACTAGGGCAAAAGGAAGTTTGGAAAGAAGATTTAGAGCACAATAATATTAGTTTTAAAGATAAGTCTGAAACTTGGTTAGATTTGGAAAATATTATACCAAACATAAGATACAAAATTAGAAGGATCTTCAAACAATTTAACACAAGAGTAAAATTCACAACAAGACTCTCGGAGGCATATCATCACCTGTTAAACAACTCAGCAACCCTAAAATACAAAAAATAGATGATGCACTGTATTTTCCTGCAGCTGTGGAGAAACTTGCATTAGTAAAAGAGGTAGAACAAAGAATATGCAGATGCAAAAAGACTCATGTAACCTTAAAAACCAACTAGTGTCAAGCACTGTAAAAAACCCAAGATAGAAAATTAAAAGAGAAAGACACAAAGTATTAGACAAGGAACAACACTGGAAACCCAGGAGAAAGTAAAGAAGCTTTAAGGATAAAATAAAAAGACCGAGTCTTAACCAAGATGAGGGACTAGGCACTACCAGAATATGTAACCACTTACTTCAAAGAGAATTAAGTAGGATTAACTCACCACTTAAATCAACTAATGAAAAAAAACCAGTAAAAATAAGGTGCTCTCCACCAGAGCCAATACTTCACAATGTTAGTGAATTAGGATTAGTGCTCCATAGTGCTATAAAACCTGTAATGAGAAAACAACTCCCCAGACCTGAAGGATTCAGCAGGAAGCCTAAAACTTTGTCACTAACAAACAGAAGATAGCTGTTTTCAAAAAAACCTTCCTCAAATGAGGGCATCTTGTTTTTTATAATCAATGAAAAGTTATTCAATTTTGAACTGTCTAAAAGTGAAAGAAGAAAAAAAATGTACAAAAAATGGATAAGGTACTTCAATATATAGATTTTTAACATTTAAAAGATATTTTACGTTTTCCAAACAGTTTGCAAAAACAAATTAGCTGATGATTTTCTATTATTACTTAGATAACCTGTTGGCTCATAATGAGCCATTTTAATTTTTTAATTTGAAAACTTTTATTTAAATCATTATTGTTAATTGTAGTTGAAGCAATATTGAACTAAGATATAATTTATAAAGATAATTATAAATTGTGCTTTTCTTTAAGCTCTGTTCTGTAAGCCAGTTATATATTAAAACATTGATCTGTAATACCATACATGTTGGTTTTATTTAAAATATTATCGTGTGATACCCATACGTCAGTATCATTGTTATATGTCATAACTGTACAGGAAATCTTGCAGTGAACCTAAATATTAGGTATGTATGGTTTGTGTAAAACCTATAACAAAATGGTCAGTTTTTTCTTCTCCTTCTTGAATTAATAACTTTCATTGCTATATCTTATATATTGGAACTATTCTTACTATAATTGTATGGTAGACTGCATATAATAATGAGGAAAATTAGATTTTTTGCTCATTTTGATTTCATCTGTTGCTTATGAAAGATCTGTTTGCTACTATACATACATCAGCACAAAAGTAGAAATGTTTTTCTACAGTGATATTTAATATAATAAATTTTCCAAACCTTATCTAGACATGCCAAACGTTCAATGGTTGGAATAGATGATGTAAAACTACTGGTTCGTAAAAGCTTACCCTTGGTAAGTATGCAAAGTAACACAGTGTTTGAGAGATAAGTTTTGTTTTTCATATACATTGTAAATAATATGTATTACGTGTTTAAAATATGTTATGCTTGAAATATGCAACTAACTATATTTTTCATAAGTTTGATTACATATGTACGTATATGTTCAGGTAAATACTATAAACTGAAGAGTTACAGGTATGTTGATTGTCTTATTACAGTTTCACAAGTTTCAAGTCAACTTTGACTTCTGATCAGGGCAAGCTATTTATTTAGAGTAATACTAAAAATCAACATGGCAATCAGTATAGCTAATTAAATATTATTTTGTTTCTACTTATAAAGATTAGAATGTATTGTTTTAAGAGTTTGGTACCCTTGCTGTTAACAACATTTTTTACTGTGATATCAATAATATTTTGCAAGGTTTGGAGATTTCGGTTAGTTCTAAATACATTTATTAAGCTAACAATGCAAAGCAATCTTTATAATAAAAGTATTATAATAATAAACCAAAATAACAATTAATAACATTCAATAAACTAAACAGTATAACCAATACTGTTGATTAAAGTAATAGTAAGTAAATAATATGGAATAACTTACTTATGGAACATAAAAACACTCTATCTGTTGACTTGAACTACTATTGTAAAAGAAATTTGTGTGGAAAACAAGAACTTAGTATAACATGCCTGTTTTTTTCTTCAACTCTTCCTAATGCTGGTCTATCGTAGAGTTGCTAGACCACTCAAATAACAGGAAGACCTTGCACTAGGGGATGTACAAGGTTGTTTTTGGTAGACTCGTGGTCTATCGGGGGTTATCAATCAGAATAATTTGGGTGCCATCCTTTTACCCTTGGACAAGTTTTTTCATGTGCATAAGTTCAGTGTACGCCATTTGTGTTTTTGTTATTCTCTGAAATTGGGTAGCACAACTATTTGCTCCATCAGATGCATTTAGTAACATTATTTATGAATAAGATTTATATCATTATAGAGCTAAGAAAATCCAATTGTCAAAATTTCAAAATGCATACAATTAACTAATGATCAACAGAAGGTGTTTGAACATGGTAGAAAATTCTCCATTTGGCAATGTTTTTGGCTTCCCTTTAGAAGTTACTTCACAGACCAACATGTGGATGACTCCACATACTTTTCTTCAATGTTGCCTTCATCACATTGCTGTCTCTTCAGCTTCAGGATTTTGTTATCTGTGGTTATTCCTCCAGCCAAATGAAATTCATTGCAGATAAGTTATTCTCTGTTCAATGCTTATTTAATGCTTGGGATCACATAGAAAAGAATAAAAAATATGGTCTGTTCTTTTCTTGGGAGATTCTTTATTTATCTAGATTCATCCATTTAAGACTCATATATTCATTCATGTCTGTGTTTGCTCTAGACACAATTCCACCCTCTGTACTGGTGCTCTATGAGAGGATATTGCCCTCGGGAAATGGACAGAGAGTACCAGCTTATGGATGATGATGACACAGTGGGTACTTTTCACACTTCTGTGTCTGTGGCATCAGAGACACTTGAGGCAAAATGCCTGTTCTCCAGAGATGTTACCGCTCCAACTAGAATGGAGATTTTATTATTTATTTTTATCTTATTTTTGATATTCCTATTGCACTGTCCTTGGTTCTTCCTGATTGGCTACTAATTTGGTTCGTTTCCTGACTCACTGGTCTTTTTATCAATGGATGAAGAGGTGTTACAGCCTTGGAGTTTGTTCATCATAATATTGACTCAGCTGCTCTTTAGGAAACCATCCACAACAGGTGCAGGACGTAGTATTTCTCTTAGTTGTTTATGCCACTACCTGTGTTCCCATCAATGGCTTCATAGGTTCAATAAAACATCACTGCCCTAAGAAACCCTTTGTATGAACTGAAGGACATCATGAAAACCTGCAGAGAATAATACTTTATTTCTGATGTCATTTAGTCCAGTCTTTGCATAAAGTTGTTACATTTCACTCATTTTCCTTGGAATCTAATCCTTTGAATATTTCTAGTTCTGGATTCTAACATGTCTTCACTTGACTACATCTTTATTGTAGTCTATATTATCTTCTCGCTGTGTGACGTAAATAACTATTTCTGTATCATTTTCACTCTCACTGGTTCCTGCCTCCTTTGACATTGTGAGTATTGTGCCCTTCATTGTTTCATAGGTAAGACTACCTGATTTGAATATATAATTCTTAGAACTAACATTAATTTCAAACAGGTAGTTACTTCTAAAAACACTGCAGGCAGAATACCCACAATTAATTCCTACCCACCCACCTCTCACAACTAGAGCGTACAAGGTTTCCATGGTGACTGCACCCCTAAATTATGATAATAAAGCAGAACTTAGGTAAGATCTGATGCATGCACAATAAATCACATGGAAGGTGAGAAAGTGGAGAATCATGGGTAAGTGATGAATGCTTAGTAATTCATAAAAGGCATTCAGAATTTTGAGTCCCGTGCATGAGAGCAAAGTCAAGAATTATAGGCCTACAATATTTCAGAGATAAATATTTTTGGGGGGGAATTAATGTTAATTCTAAAAATAAATATAAAAGTTAATTGAATTTTTCTGGCTTGAGTCGTTAACTACATCATTCAAAATACAAAACACACTTCTTAGTTTAAAATTGTAGTTCTTTAACTATAGGCCACTAATTTGTAACCCAACAATAGCATATGGGTTGTAAAATGTTTAATATCCATTTTGTCAGAAATTAATCAAGAAATGCTCAACATTGAAAAAAATTAGTTGAGCTTGGGATTTTCAAAATAAAAAATTCTAATTACTGAAAACAATAAAAATAAGTTTTTATTCCAAAGTTTAAGGCCTATAAATAAGTATATTGCTTTTTCAATTTTTAAAATTTGATATATAGGCAAACCATATAACTCAATTAGCTGAGACACTGAGTTCTGGAACAGAAGAAAAGAAGAAGAAGAAGCCACAGAGACGGAAAAAGAAAGTCTCCTCAACTGACCCAGAACTCAATTACCAAGATAACTCTACAGTTGAGAACATAGATTGAAAGCTTCTAGAAAATGCTAAACTAGATTATTATTTTTTCATGTATTATTACTTGGAGGCAATAAAATGTTTTGTGAGAAATTTTAGGTTTTATCTGAAAAAAGTTGTTTTTCAAGCTAAAGCAAGTAAATTTAAAGAATAGTGAATCAACCACCACAAATATATTGAATTAATTCAGACAACAAACCTGCAATATTTTATGTGATAAAACCAGAACTAGGCATTTCATACTTATCTTTATTTCTTGTATAAATACCACAAAAATATTGTATTTGTTATTCAATCTTGGTTGAGAATTCCTCATGTTTAGATCCAAAGCTGTTCATCAGAGTAACATAAGAAACATATTATTACGATATTTTTGTTTTCTGAAACCTTACTTGTGTAAAACCTGGAAGATTAAACACTTTAAGGTTGAAGTAGAATGTAAGATATTTGGGAAAAAACAGTAAGTTTTTAGCTTTATAAAATGTTTTTCTGAAAGTGGGTGCAATAAAAAGATGAAAATATATATGAATAAATAAATTATATGGAAAACTTGGTAATGAGATTTTAATAACTAATATTGTTATTGTGCGAGTTTTTTTGTGTGTGTGCAGAGCCACACAGTAGGCCGTCTGTGCTCTTTTCACTGTGGGGAATTGAATTCTGAATTTTAATGTTGCAAGTCTAAACTTACTACTCACCCACTGGGGAATGAAAAAGAATGCAAGTTGCAATACGTTGATATCATAGCTATACTTTATTATAGTTTATATTAGAATTTTTAGATCAACTGTGAAGCCTGTTAATTATAAAAATGTCTGTTGTTGCTCATCTCATTGGTGTTGATGATCACCAAGCTAATTCAGTAAGTTACTGATACACATTTTGCAAATCACAATTGTATCTATGTGTTTGGTAAAACTACTGGAGGTAATATTGTACCTTGGTCTGTCTTTGTTTTATCTTTTCCTTCAGTAATTAGTTGTCCTTGGAAGAACTTTCTTGTGAATGTCTTCGTCTTCTCTTGAATCCAAAGTTGCATTCCTAATTTGACTTCAGTATTTCAGTTAAATCTTTCACTACCATGGGCACAAATATAGTACACATTAAACAACTTATGTTGTAACTTTGAAAATTGTGATATCACCATGAAGAAAGGTACTCTATTTCAAAGTTCTCCAGTTTCGTATAAGTAATAAACATTAAAACGTACTTTTTTTATTGAGTATCTAAAAAGAAACCTGGCACTGGTAGAATTGTTTATCTATAAGTGTGGCAGTGAAAGAGTTATCTCCAGTTTCATTTAGTTCCTATTGTGTTTTCTCAAACACTACAGGCCTGAATACAAATACTTGTTTTATTCATTGTACCATAGTATGTTTCTTGCTTCTTTAAAGTCAGTATTATTACATTCACCAATTATATTTTCCAAAATACTTGTTTTGTGGATCATCTCACTTGGACAATAATTGTTCCACAAACCCAAAGGGAAAAGAAATTGTTATTAACATTAAAAACAGTTTATCACTTATTTGTTGTTGTAAAAACATGACAGAAAAAACGAGAGTAAAAATAAATATTTCTGCATGGCAAGATGGTTGTCTGGTCCCTCACATACTTCTGGCAAGACCATTAAGGTGAAATTAATAAACAACGATGGTCTGTCTGGTTGCAATTTATGGTTGAGATAGTTGGATGCTTAAAAAGGTGCACATCAAACCGTTGGAAACCTTTAATATGTATGGTTATTAGAGGCTACTGAGAGCAAGCTGGCCACCCTATCAGACGAATGAATCATTGCTGGGGGCAGTAACGGCAACTTGTTTATGACATTAGACAATAAAAGCAGAAATATTTTGGCCACATCACCTGCAAGGGAAGATTAAAGGATGCCGCTCACGTGGATGACAGCCCAACAGGGCATGGAACAGGAACCTATAGAAGGTTATGATGTCACAAACTATGGTCTCCTACTCTCAGCAATGAGGAAGGAAACACAAGAGTTATAATATTAATACTTATTTTATATCACAATTAATACGTTCATATAGATATGTAATAATATATTTTAATCACGGTTTAGAATTATAGAATGAACTGATAACAGTTTATCTCGATTAAAAGGTAAAACCCATATAGAAGGTATAGCATGGAAAAAATATTTTATATATATATTATACTTCACTAAAAAGTAAAGGTTAAATAGACAAGCGATGATGCCCCCCAGTGGCGCAGCTTACAACGCTAGAAACCGGGTTTCGATACCCGTGTTGGGCAGAGCACAGATAGCCCATTGTGTAGCTTTGTTTGTTTGTTTGTAATTAAGCACAAAGCTACACAATGGGCTATCTGTGCTCTGCCCATCACGGGTATCGAAACCCGGATTCTAGCGTTGTAAGTCCGCAGACATACCGCTGTGCCACTGGGGGCGTGTAGCTTTGTGCTTAACTTCAAAAAACATACAAGCAATGATATGGAAAAATAATTCACCTTTGTTTTTTGAAGAAATCAAATTTAATCGTGTTCGGTCCTTCTATTGCCCTAAAAATATATTTCGATTGTCTGGTTTATGCGTACGTTCTCGTTTAATGAGTAAAATCCTTGTAGTGATGAATATCTGTCTGCTTTTTTCTTTCTAAATAAAAGTAACTCAACAAAATCAGACGAAACACGAGGAACAGTTATCAAGGGATACGATCATTATAATTGTGATGAAAATATTTAAAACTAAAAAATAATAATACTAAGGTATTTCCGAGTCTTTTTTATAGTATTCTCTTTAAATTACTTACATTGATTTCCAATATTCAAAGATTTCATAAGTAAGTTAACACTAAAAATGTCTTTGTTACTGTTATAACTTAGCAGATTCTCGCTGCTCACGACGACGGCCAATAGCGAATTCCAGGTACGTCAGAAAACCATCTTTATCGATGTCGTCCTCGTTCAGAATTTTGTCAATATATTCTGTTGTAAAGGAAAGAAAGAAAAATGTATTATATGTTAAAATAAGTTTCTGTATCAGTGACAACTACAAACTTAGATTTGGATTTACATTACCTTAACGCATGGGCACCCCACAGAAATATTTTCGGGGGGGTGTCAGTTTAAGTCAACAGATTAAAAGAATATGTGTGCTTAAACAGAAATTTACATTTTTAGTTTAACTTCGATGTTAAGTTTACCTCACAATACGTGCAATTTTTTTGTAAAATGTAGGGGGGCAAATGTCCCCTTTTTTTTGCTCCTTCCTGCGGGCGCCCATGCCGATACATTTGTTTTATTCACGTTTCGTACATTAACTACTCAAACTTGGCCATTACGCTTGGCTCACTTGCTAATATATATTCACAATTTGTTTGGTTTGAATTTCGCGCAAAGCTACACGAGGGCTATCTGCGTTAGCCGTCCCTAATGTAGCAGTGTAAGACTAGAGGGAAGGCAGCTAGTCATCACCACCCACCGCCAACTCTTGGGCTACTCTTTTACCAACGAATAGTGGGATTGATCATCATAACGCTCCCACGGCTGAAAGGTCGAGGACCTGGCCATGCCGGGCTGTATATTCACAAATGAATGTCAATATATCAGGGTTCGTGAATTACTAATTTACTTTAAAATTTTGCTATTTTTTTTTTTTTTGCTGTCGTTTTTATTCAATGGTTTGTTTTTATCAAAATTTTGTGAAAAGTACACGAATGGCTATCTGTGCATAGCTGTCCAAATTTTGAAATGATAGACTAGTGCACCCACCGCCAACTCTTGGATTGTTCTGATCTGACCCAAGAGTGGAATTTGACTGTCATATTTATAGCGGATCCAAATTGCGGAGCATATGTTTTACATTAATGGGACACGAATCCTCATAAACCCAGTGGAAGTCGTTTTAAGACTTTATAATATTACTCTTTATATATATATATATATATATATATATATTAAAACCTACGAAACCAGGTTTCGATATCCGTGGTGGGCAGAACACAGATAACCCATTGTGTAGTTTTGTGCTTAAATACAAACAAACAAGCACTCAGTAGGACGCATACCTTCGCCACGCAGCGTTGATCATATTTGGCCCTCAATAAATACGAAAAGGTATCCGTATGTCTGTCGTTATCAATGGACACAAACCATTTTTGGCAGAACAATGAGAGATAATATTCTACGTATGTCCACTAAGTTTCATTAAAATCTGATCTTTTTTTTTACTGGGTTATAGAGCATAAATATTGTTAAAAAATCGGTCCCCATGTTAACAGATAGGGATTTTTTTTTTTGCATTTTAGTGACCTTGACCTTTGACCCTCAAAAACTAATAATTTTTATGTTGGGTCAAAATCTATTCAGCCGTTTTCGAGAAATCCTGTTGATACACAGGGATGAAAGCATAACTTCCATCACCTTCGGTGGCGGAGGTAATTAGTAGGTCACGACATGAAGAAACTTAGAAATAAATAAGCATTTATAGATTAATTTATAATGATCACATAGATCATTACAATCTATTTGGACGAGAGAAAGCAAACTGTTGATAGGGAAATATAACGAGCGATTTTATAATGTTTTAGGAGCTTCTACGAGCAACAGTCATGTCGGTGGTGATTACAGCTGGTCAGAATATAGCCACTGCTGATTTGATGTAAAGAGAAAAAAAAAACAGCGATTACTTATATGTATCATTTTTGGGAATTAAATTTATTTCGAATTCTTAACCAGTTTTTCCTATTCCATAAAACAGTTTTGGATTGTTGAAGTTCCATTGTGACTCACAGTAAATCTGGGGTTTATAACGCTAAAAATCGGGTTTCGATGCCCGCAGCGAGCAGAACACAGTCCATTATGTAGCTTCGTGTTTAGCAACAAAAACAGTCGAAAGTACTGTGAAGAGGGGATAATTACACAGGCCTGCGATGATTTTACATGTTCTACAGTAATTCCTGTACCCTGAATCCGAAAATATCCATTTTTCTCCATCACATACAGAGTTTCACAAAACGTTATGACGCAATACATAAAAGAAAGACCACAACAAGTAATTTGGAGACTAAAAGACGTAGATTTCACCATAAACGTCAAGAAGAATGAGGAAGCATATTCATTTGGCATGAATGTTATTCCCTTTTCTTCAGTTTGTGTGTATTTTTGTTAACAAACATAACAAAAAAAAATGTTCATTGTGGTAAACGTAATAATAATTTGATCTAAGTAAGAGTTATATATTCCTGATTTGTAAAAAATCCTTACATGATAGAAAAAAAAAGAATATTATTTTCGAAATCTGGGTAGCTGAATTATGGAAGATCCGTTGTTAAAACCCAAACAACTTTTATGAAGTTTAAATTCGCAGGCCTGTGTTATTTAAACACGGTGTTTGCTTTTAAATATTGGATAATATCAGGCATAAGTTAAAATATGCATAAGTTAAAAAATATTCTTAACTATGTGAAAACTTTAAAATCTTTTCATTAAGATTTGTATGAAATTGACTATAAATGGATTTTCGTACTTACTGGGGTTTTAACAAAAAAATACTACAAAGTACAATATCTAAAATAACTTATGTGTAGTTCTAACTATGTAGAACTTTAATAAAATAGCTTTGTGAAAACCTTATTAAAATAATAAATATCGTTTATATCACTTCTTGGAAAATAAATAACTATTTGTTGTTTACACGTAGTTCTTCACTTTACTACAATAAGCGGGAACGTACTAGAATCTCTTTCGAACTTTGCGTTCCACAACCTTTGCCAATTTAAGTTGACTACTGTGACGTCTGGATTAGCTGAGTCGACGTTGTCTTCTTCAGAAGTTTTCTTGTTTTCTATTGGATCGTCATTCACGTGATTAAGAGCGGCCAAAATTTCCAGCCCGTCCAACATCCCGTTCTTATCGAAGTCGTGTAATCTTACACGGTAACAAAGTTCATTGAGTCATTGTAATGAAAAATAGGTTTAGTACAGCTTTTATATTCTTGTAAACGGTACTGATAATTAGATAGATTTAAATTGCCATACTACAAAATATATATCACCCTAATGCAGATTATTCAACAACATAAAGTATTTCAATATAACACTAATAAAACTGTGAAACTACAGCAAAACTTACTATAGTAATAGATGAAAGTTTGAAATACTATATATATACTTGTTTACTGCCTTTCTAGCTTCAGCAAATAATTAATTAACAACACTCTCTAATTTCATTTTTCTAACTATTGTGTAAAACATAAGTTCTAGTGTGCTTATTACAATCTAAATATGACTTCATGTTGTTGTAACTCGGATAAGGACTGCTACAGCTGTTTTACATGTCACCTTGGTTAGTACACCTGTACATTTGGTGTACCATTATTATTGTAAATTCCTGACATTGCCATGTTTGTGGCTCTATCATAAACTTGTGGAAAGAACCAGAAAGAAGTGCATGTGAAATTGTTTTGCTGCAAAATTTATTCCATTTCATGTCTCGTGCGTTGGAAGTCGATTTACTGTAAAGAGCACTAACTCTATATCATGCAATTTTAGCCTCCTCTGCCCGGACTGGTCGTGTATTATGCGCATAAACTCTGCCCTGGGCTTGAATGCATGCTTCCTAGGCTTTACACCACATTTATACTACCAGCGTGGATACTCCTTTTGCTAGATGTTTGAGATACTAGTTTATAGCCCTGACTACAAGTCGTCAACTTTTTGAAGGCCATAGATAGGCCTAAATAAAATGTTTTTAATTGTGTACCAGTTTAACGTTGAATATTATTTATGATTTTAACTACAAACCAAAGTTTCTCAGCCACTGGTTCGTGGACCGATGACGTTCCGTCACAATCACCTTACCGGTACGTAGGAATTCACGATTGTTTGTTTGTTTGTTTGTTTGT